AGCTTCCCTGCTAGGATTATAGGCCTACACTCGGCTTACATAAATTTTTAACAATAAAAACTTTAAAAAAAAAACATGCCACTTAACTAGCTAGAATTTTCAATTAATTTGTGTGTTTTTATTTGTTTATAGAGTACTATATAAAACTGCAATCCACTATTAAGAGAACAGGGCAAATCAATTTTAAATCTAACAAATACATACACACACACACACACACACACACACACATCTATCCAATTTCCTGAGAACCCCGAGGAGTCAGTATTTTTACACTAATCACACACAAGTGCAGTCTAAAATCATCCTCAATTTGAGGACTGTTCTTCCAGAAGTTCAGTTCCAAGTTGATTTGACTAGAGAACTCAAGGCATAACACTTAAACGTAAACCCATTACTCTTAATCATCTACCTCTGCTTCTACCATTCTTAATATTAAAAGTGGTTGAAGCCTATTAATGATGTAGTCTCTGTTCCAATTATTTATTGCTATGTAACAACCATCCCCATACTTAGTGACAAAAAAAAAAATAATATTTTGTTCACAAATCTGCTATTTGGGCAGGGCTCAGTAAGGAAACATAGCTGAGGCTATGTGACATCAGCTGAGGCTGCTCAACTTGGGATGGCAAAATTGGTATTTACTGTCAGCTGGGAGTTCAGCCAGAGTTGAGGGCCAAGGGCCTTGGTTCTTTGAAAGGGCTGCTTTGGCTTTTACTTGGAACAGCTGCTAGATTTCAAAAGAGTATTAAAAGAGAACCAGGATACCACCTTGGAAAACACTATGTAGTATCACTTCTACTGGCCAGGTTCAAGAAATAAATACCCTTCTTCTCTAGGAGATGAGTGTCAGTCACACTGTAGGATTGCAGATCTTGTTGGGCATCCAGTCTCGTTTTTTAATTCTCTCCTAGCATAATCTCCTATCTTTTGTATCGTTTTCTTCTCAGTCTGCACTGAAAGACTTTTCCTCTCTGATAGATGTCATTTTCTTAATCCACCTAAATTGAAAATGACTACTACTTAATTTTAAAAATTAAATTGAGAATGTTTTAATTGAGATTCATCTAAGTAAAATAACTCTCTAGGTAGAAACTATTTTTCCCTACTTTACAAACACAAAAACTGAGGCACAAAGATGTTAGGTAACTTGCCCAAGACCACATAACTACTAAAAAGTAGAACTAAGAGATGTCATTCATTCCCAGGTCTAAATAACCATCCAATTAAAATAGTAATTCCTAAACTCCTAACTAGCTATGCCCTCTTTTCGAGTAACCAATTCATATTTACAATTGCCTTCTGGACTTCTTCACCAAAATACTTTAATAAAAACTCAAATTTAAAAAAAAAAAAAATATATATATATATATGTATATGTATATACATATATATATATATTTTTTAAATGAACACATTATTCCTTACCCCTGAAGGGTTCTTCCAATTTCTGTGTCACAAGTTAGTACATCATCAACCACCTATTTTCCAAAGTTCATAAACTTGGAATTAACTCCTCATTAACGGAACTCTTGATTCTTCCTCCAACACATCTTTCCAGATTTCTTGGCTTCTGTGTTTCCATTAAATTATGCTAAAATTTTCCCTGCCTTGATTAATCAATCAACAGACAATTGTGAAATAATTACCAAATGACAAGAACTAAGGCAGATTGCCCATGACCCCTGTTTTCCTAGCTAAAAATCTCTTATCCATTGAAGGCCATTCTTCACATGAACATTAAGATTCCCTGCCTCCCCCGACATCCCCTTTTTAAAAAAGCATATCAGGCCAGGCACAGCGGCACACACCTATAATCCCAGCACTCTGGTAGGTTGAGACAGGAAGATTACAAATTCAGGCCTGCATCAGCAATTTAGGGTGATCCTATTTCAAAATAAAAAGTGCTGGAAGGGTTAGGGATGTAGGTCAGTGGTAAACTGCCCCTGGGTTCAATCCCTAGTACTGAAGAAAAGGAGATGGGTGGGGGGAGGGGAGTCAGCTCAGCCCCTTAATATGGTCTACAAAAAGCTTTCTCAAATCTTCCTCAAACCCCCATGGTCTCAATTTCAATATCTTACTATGAACCACCAGCCACAACACTCCCTATTTCTAAACCATGCACAGACACACCTTGTTTCATCTCAATATTCCCTAAACACACACCCCCTTACAAATTGGAGTTAGCGTCTGTGTCTGCCCTGAAATGTCATTACTATATGAAAGCATTCTTAATCATCCCAGGAAAAGATCCTGGACTCCACTGCACCATATTAACACATTTTTCTACCCCAACTATAATTTTAACTCACCATCTTTTTTCTTTTCTACTCTTTTCTTTTTTGTTGGGGTCGGGGTGGGGGTGGGAGTTGTACTAGGGATTGAACCCAGAGGCACTTTACCACTCCAGTCATTATTTATGTGTAGAATACATAATGAATCCAAACCAGAGGAATCTTGTTCAGAAAGTTCATCCTGAGGTGATCATTTAAAAACACTACAGATGATACCTTCAGAAAGATCTGTCAACAAGGGTTGAAACTGGGAGATTTCTATGATATACATTACAACAATAAATGAATCATCTATTAATAAATCATTTCTGCCAACTGAGGAAATATCCTGCAGTTTGATTTTGTTGCATAACGTTGTCTTTGTTTAAAAGGGAAAAGTCAGAGATTTTTTTTTAAAAGCACAGTTAACAGTTTAATGTTGTTTCCTTTTATAATCTCTTCAATGTGGAAAATGAAAGCACAATTATATTTAACAGTACATGAAAACCAGGATGCATAAAAACAAAATATCCTTGACTACATCCTGCCCTGTTTTCCACAGTTCCCCAGTTGTGACTAAGAAAGGGAAGCAGGAGAAAAAGACACTCCCTGATTTATTCTGCAACCTAGATCAACGGTAGTAACAGCAGGAAATGGCAGAAGTGACTGAGGATTTTTTCTTTCTTCTCCCTCTAAAATCTTAGGAGGTCAACTTTTCACTTGAAAATGAAAACTTCCTCAACAGCAGAGTCCACTATAGAGCTAGACTCATAGGCATCCAGGAAAAGATAAATATACTTCTTAATTACATTTAACTAATAATTATAACTATTATTACAACATGCCTTTGATTTTGATGATGCAACAGCTACATATATCCAGGGAAAAGTCACTTGAGTTAAGACCTATAAATATGTTTAAGTTTGGTCTAAGAACCCTCTGGTCAGAGGTTCTGTCTCTGTCACCACCACTAAATCTCACCAGCTACCATTTAACTGGAGACAATAAGATAAGGTAAACCCTAATTTGGCTTAACTACTTTACTAAATGGCAAGACCCTAGAGAACAAAACATATATTTCACCACAACCCCCTTTTTTCCCCCTGGGGAAAAAGGTAGTACCCAAATATATTTTCAAGTAAGTTACAGAACTCATGTGGTCACTCATCTAAAGAAAAGATATATTTAAAATATGTCCAAGACACAACTGAGAATATCAAGGAGGATCCATTAATTCAAAAGTGTCTTATGAACTGTACGACAATATAACAGATTTTTGTTAACAGCTGGTTTGTCACAAAATACATTAATTAAAAATCTCACACCTTCACAAAATTTTGTAAGATGTGAAAAAGAAAACAAGTAACTACAGAACTACCTAGTATTCTGCCCAGGTACACAGTAAAAGTTCTCAGCAAGAATGTCTCCTTGCTCTGGTGTCAAAAAGCAGATGGCACAATTTTATAATTGGACAAACTGATGTAATGTATCCTCCAACAATTAAATTTGAGAAGGCACAATTAATACTTCTTAAATCTCATCTAATTATAATGCTTCACTCAAAATTTGCTGTTTTATTACAATTCATTATAATATTATGTCATCCCCCTCAAAAAAAGCGTTATCTATGCAAGGGACGACTGAAGGCCAAGACATAATACTCACAAAAGTAATAATGAAAAGTTCCAATTGTAACAAAAACTGTGTCATCTAAATTTTAAGCCACACAAACTGCTGAATCTCAGGTAGAAAAGGGATACAATTTTCCCTGATGAGAAATTCTCAATTGTGAATGGCATTGTGCTCTACTGCTTATACTTCTGTAACTCAATAAAGAATAGCCACACCAAATAAGGGTCTTTCCTTTCTTTTCACGCATATCTCCGCTTTCCTTCACACAAGGAAATATTTTATACGTTTCATTGTTTCGTGGTTCAGTTGCGGCTTTCCTATCCTTTCAAACAAGACACACTTTTACACTGGACTTCAAAAAGTTAAATTTTCAGGCTTAGGAGACTGAATATATTCAAGGAAATACATTAGAATGCACACTGTCAAGCGCACGTTCACGATGCTCCAGCTCGCAGTTAGGTGGTTTTTATAACACCCTTAAATTTCCTAAGATTCCAACACATAATCATTTCAGTTTTGATTCCCTTCAGTTGTAGGCTAAACAGGCCTTTACTGTCCTAAAAAAAAAAAAAAAAGACTCCCAGCTTTACCAAATGTTAAGAGTAAGCACACGAGTGCCACTTCTGGTATTACTAATGGCGCAATGAGAAGCCCCCAAGAGTCGCAGTCTCAGGTGGTCCCCTTGGAATACTGTCACGAAGAGTCACGCGACAAGACAAGGCTCGCCCCACCTGGAGCTGCCGGCTCCTCTACTCGCCTCCGGAGTCAGCCCTTCCCACGACTTATTCCGAATGGACATCGTCCCTCACTAGGAGGGACCTCCGAGACGCCCCTCAGACCCCGCGGACCAAGCCAACCCTCTCCTGGGACAGCCGGCTAGCGCCCAGCGACCGACCGGCCCCCCGCGGTCCCAAACCTCCCCTCCCCCACCGCACGCTCCGCCCGTCCGCCTCCGAAGCCGCCGCCCAACCCTGGCTTTCGCACCTTCCTTCCCAGGGCTTCTTCCGGGCGGCGGGAGAACGCCCGCTTCTCCGCCCGCGCACCTCGCGGCCCGCACCCCGGGCCTGCCACTCCCCGAAGGGACGCGGGACCCACCTCGAACAGCTCGGCCGTCGTGGCCATCCCGGCCGGCTGAGAGGCTCGCCCCGCGCTGGATGCCGTCTCCTCTTCACATGCTGCGCCTCAGCGGCGCCGCGCACAGTTCCCTGCTTGGCTGGTCAGCTCCAACTCCGAGCCGCCGCGGGCTTCCCCAGTCCTTACAGAACCCAGGCTGAGCGAGAGAACGGCCATGAAGCGGAGCCGCAGACGCCTGTCAGCTGCCTCCCGGCGCCGCCCGCGCCGCTCCCATTGTCACCGCCTCATACGCCGGAAGTGGAGCTGCGCGCGCCCGAAAGGAATCGGGAGGGGCAGGCGAGGGAAGCTAGCGGCTGGCGAACGGGAGAGAGGCTGGGTGCTTGGGCAAGTGAGGAACCTTGATCCTTGCGGGCCACCATCCCGGAAGTGGAAATTAGAGGAAGAAAATACTGGGTTTGCTGGGGATAAGTTTCTCAAGATTCTAGGTGCGGATTTTTAGAACTTTTTGTGATATGTTTTGACCAGGATAGAATCAGAGATTTTTTTCGCCTCCCTTGAAAGAGCCAGCATCTCTAGTGAGTTCGTGTGTGGCGCAGGGCGAATCTCGGGACTTCAATTAAGAATCCCGCGGAGAAAGCCGGTCTGCGCTGTTCCTTGGTGGCGACTTTGGTAAGGAGCTGAGCTTATGCTTTAGTGGCTTACTATGGCCCAGCGGGCAGTGTGGCTTATACGCCACGAACCAGGAACTCCACTTTGTGGCACCGTGAGATTCTCCAGGTAAATGCAAATCTGAATCCCCAGGAATGATCAATCGAAGATTCATTGATGTAGCATTGTTTTGTGATGCATTGTATCCCAGGTCTGCCACGAATGATTTTGGTCAAGTTACTTAACCTCTGTTTTGCCTATTAAGTGAATATTTTATACTGTTGTAAAAATAAAACGAATTGTTGCCTGACAGATTATTACATGCGTTTTCTAGTATAAGTATTATTGCATCTTAAAATTAACTCCATCTGCTTAGGCTTGATACAGAGATGATAAAGGAAAAAGGAAAAAAAAACACGTTTTAAAAATTTCGACTCTCATTGATAAAATCAAGGACATTTTAGCTCATTATAAAAAATCCTTGCTAAGCAGTATGACTTATTTTCATCTTATTTTGTGTCATTGCTAAACACATTGCTAGTTCCGGTTGATGAAGAAAAGGAAGTATGAAAAATTGCATTCACTTTTTTCTTAGATCGTGTAAGCGATCTGGTCCCACTTTTACAACTCTCCATATTTTATCAAGATAGTTTTATGAAGAGAACTGTATACAATAATTCATTGTAAAATGTTAGGGAAAGTAATCTGTTTCACCTTTTATTCTCGGTGACCACTTAGAGTTCTTTTTTGCTATTTATTCATTCTTCCGTCTATAGTGACATAGCCTGATGGAAATGAGATTGAGCCAGATAAAGAAGGATGTAATTTTAAAGTAATTGGCAATGTAGATATGAGACATTGCTTTTGCAGCCTAAACAATTTTTGTTACTGAGGGCATCAGAGTTGGAGTTTACCATTTTCTTTCAGAACACTTGGCTTACATTTATTGTTGTTGGACCTCAAACACAAGAAATTAGTATTATTCTTTGGTCCATGGTTCATCAGCCTCATTATTCATCCAGGATATCTTCATTTTACTAATATATTCCCTTTGGTTACCTGTTTCTAACTGCCATTCTCCTGTTCCAGCAGGTAACTCTTACATGTTCTGTATTATCCTTTTGTTTATATGTATTTGTCAAATTATATAATTAATTGTGCTTTAGATTTCCATTTGTTGCATTTGTCAGACTTCCCAGTGCTCTTAGAAACATCATATTACTTTGTGTTCATTTAGAGCTGCGCTATCCTATAGAATTTTTCTACTATTGATGGAAAGGGGAAATGTTCAAAACCTGTGTTGGCTAATATAGCCACATGCATGTGTAGGTATTGAGCTTTTGAACTGTGGCTGATCTGAGAAACTCACTTGTTAATTTTGCTTAGTTTTAATATAAGTTTAAATAACTTCATGTGTTTAGTGTCTCTATTGTACCCTACATCTAGGCTGTTGCTTCTACTTGCTCTGTAGTACTCCATGATTTACCTCCACATTTTACCTATCTCCTTTCCCTAGTGATAATCTACAAAGTGGCTTCCAATTCATAGCCATCTGAACAATTCTCAAGTAGACATCATCAAACAGGTCCATAGTGCATACATATGCTGATTTTGAATAAATATTTCCAAATAATTAATTTGCTTCTCAAAATGCTAATTGCACCCATTGAGACTCACCAATGATTAGTGAGGGTTCCTATATCTGTTCTTTCTTGACACTTATTCTAATTGATTGACATTTCTCTGTGTAGCAATAAAGGTTAGTCCTTTGGGTTTCCTCTTCTGTGAATAGCCTCATATATATGCCCGTCCTTGTTTTCCTTTGAAAGTTACTGTTTTTTTCTGTTGATTTGTAGGAGTTTGCTATGTATTCTTGATACTAATTCATGTCATTGTTAGTATAGATTTTTAAATTTATCTTTTGTCAATTTAATGTTGTTCTTGGTTAAACAGATCACTAATTTTAATGCAATTGGAGTAGTAAGCTCCTCAGGAATTTATTGAACTATTTCTCTACCCTTATTTCCCAAAGATATCATTCCACATTATCTCCTCTGAATTTTGCAATTTTATCTCTTATATTTAGAAGTTTAATCCATCTGTAGAACATCTTTAGAGATGGCAGGAATCCCATTTTATTTCTTTCTTATCATGGACCAGTTTTCCTAACATCTTCAAAGCAGTATATCTTTTATTTGTTGAGTGATGAAATTAGTAATAATAGTTATTATGTTCCCCCATAAAAACATTGGTCTATCTCAGTTCTTTTTGTCTTTCTTGTACCAGTACCATACTGTTTTTATGTCTGTGGCTTTGTAGTGTATTTTAATATAGAAGTGAAAGTTTTTATTGCTTAAGAAAATATGTTCCTTGAAGAAGTCATGCAAAAAATGTTTTCTCAGTGTGCTCAGAATACTATTTTAGAAGAAACCTCAGATATATTTGATTGAGCTTCTCAACAATTCCATGGAAGCAGCAAAGTGACCAAATAATACATCTATGACTTTAGTTCTCTATTATTTGAATGAATTGGTAACGTTTTATTATTCAGATTCCTGATCTGTTGGGATTACTGTTAGGACTAAAGAGATATGCTTTGGCATATTATTAATTAGTACAACAAAGGATAATAACTATTGTTTAAGATTTAATAAGAAAAATGATTTTTTCCTCTATCTAACCATTTATTTCCCACAGCAAAAATTAGTTTTGATTCTGGAAAGGTTTGCTGTCCAGATAATAATGGTATCAGCTTAAGTCTGGCTTCAGTTGCTATTGTATCCCTAATTTTAGGGCCAATTAAGGTTTGAGTCATGTTTTACAAATAGCTCAGAATAAATTTGAAATGACAGGTCAAGTAACCCAACAAAATATTTATTGAACACATAGAGAGACATGTATAAGATCCCATATTAACCATCTTTACATTCAGTCATGAAATTTTTACACTTAAAAACTTTGTCCTCTAGGTAAACAGAGAATAAGATGCATCACAAATGATATGCTGGCTGAATCTTCCCCTTCCTCAGTCAAGAAAATACATTATAATTTTAAAAAGTGAGGTTTGTTCATAAATAGTTAACTTTGAATGTAACTTATTTTTCTTTTAAAAATTATTAGCAACATCAGAATTTTATTAGTGGAAAAAAACTTTTATGTAAGTATGTTTTTGACTCTTGATTAAAAACTGCTGATTTTTGTCATCCTTTTATTTTTCTTGCTGGATTGAACCCAGGGCCTCACACTAGCATGTGATCTTCCACTGAGCTACACCCCCAAGCCTCCCATTTATTTTATAAATAAGAAAATAGGCATAGGAAAGTTAGATGATTTACTCAAAAGTCAGTAGCTAACAGACAGCTTCATTCTAGACTTTGAAGTGGAGCAGGAAAGAACAGGGAAAAATACATTTTTTTAAACTAAGAAAATATGACTAACAGATTTCTATAAATGAGCAAAAACATCTTTTGTTCTGTTTCCTGAAAGAAGGAAAAAGAAAATAAATTACTAACTTACCATTTAACCCAGACATGCAAACCATAAAGGAATATTCAGACTTCTTTTTTTAATAGTGTTTTCCAGAGCCATAGAGTTAAACTATTATTAATAAAACAATGTTCCGTATTTTTAAAAAGTTTAGCAAGTAGACTCAGGGTGTTATTCACTATAGACAAAGTAGAATAGAACATTTCTTTAATCATATCATCTTAACTAGTGGATCCAAAATTTCGGAGGGTAAATTGAATAACTTCTTTAGTCCTACTCCTCTAGGATGGAATAAAAAAAAAAAAATTCTATGAATGCCTAGAATGGTCTAGGTATATACTCTGTCGACCAAGAAGGAATCTGAGTGCCTGACAAATTTTTGAATTAGAATTGGTGTACTTTACCTATTTAAAAAATTAAATAACTAAGCATTTTCAGTAATAGATGACACTTTATCATTTGGAACAACCTCAAATGTAAAACAGTTATTCTGATAGGAATTTAACATGTTTTGGGGATTTGGGCTTTTATGGGTATGAATATTTGTTATTTTATGTTTTATTGTTATTCCTGTTTGCTTGTGTTTTAGGGTTTTTTCTTAATTCCTCCATTTTTATTTTATTTGAAAGAATCATTTATAATGTTTCTTGTTTTCCTAATGCAGACGTTATCCAACCGTTGAAAAGAGAGCCAAAGTATTCAATGGAGCAAGTTATGTGCCTATTCCTGAAGATGGTCCCTTTCTTAAAGCACTCCTTTTTGAACTTAGATTATTGGATGATGATAAGGACTTTGTAGAGCGTCGTGATAGTTGTACACACATCAATAAAACAACCATCTATAGACTTTCATTCGGAGGTGAAGAACTCTGGCCAGTGGTTGCTTTTCTGAAGAATGGCATGATATATGCTAGTGTTCCACTTGTTGAACAAACTCTCTCCCCTCATCCACCATTAATTAGCATCAGTGGAATTTCACAAGGCTTGGAACTTCTTTTTGGTATACAGGATTTTCTTTATTCTAGTCAAAAAAATGATACTGAGCTAAATACAAAATTGAGCCAGTTGCCTAATTTGCTTCTTCAGGCTTGTCCATTTGGTACTTTGTTAGATGCCAACTTACAGAATTCATTGGATAATATTAATTTTGCTTCTGTGTCACAGCCACAGAAACAGCCAGCTTGGAAAGCTGGAACATACAAAGGAAAACCACAGGTTTCTATTTCTATTACTGAAAAGGTAAAATCCATGCAATATGATAAACAGGATATAGCAGATACATGGCAAGTTGTTGGAGCAGTCATTTGCAAGGTGAGATTTTCTTGGGTATTTGCTTTATCATACCATTTAACATATATGGAGAAAGTAAAATTCTATTACTTGTATTTTACATTGTTAAGTGATATCTTTTTTTTTTAATCTTTAGGGTATAATTAGATGATAGACATATGAAATTTGATGTCTTCTATTTGTATTTCTTACCACTTATTTTAGTTACTTATAACTATGTGATGAATTGCCCCATTATTATCCTCATAGTTCCCGTGGGTCATAACTTCAGGAGTAGCTTAGCTGGGAACTTCTGTTTTGTTTTGTTTTGTTTTGTGGTGTTGGGGATTAGCTGGGAACTTCTAATGTAGAAGAAGTCAAGAGATAAGAGTCGAGATTTTGGTCGGGTCTATAGTCATTTGAAAGCTGGAACATGCAAGTTGACTCACTCATATGGCTGGCAAATTAGTGCTGGTTATTGGAAGGAGGCTTCATTTCCTTTACATGTGAACCTTTAAACAGGCTGCTTAAGTGTCCTCACAATTTGGGGACTGGCTCCCCTTGAATCAAATGATATGAGAGAAAAAGATTGAATCAGAAGATAATTATTTTTATTACTTAGACTGGAAGATCACATGGTATCACTTCCACTATTTTCTGTTTGTTTAAAAGCAAGTCACTAAGTCTGATCATAAGAGGTATGGGATTTGTTCCACTTTTTGGAACAAAGAGAGAATTTGTGAACATATTTTAAAATTCCCCTATTTTCCATTTTCTCTAACACATGAAATTGACTAATTCTCTGATATGATAGCTAAAATCATTTTGAAGTGCTCTTTTTTTATTTAAACAAGTAACAGATCAGTATCGGATTCTGTGGTTTAAAGTTAGAAGATGGGGAAAGAATGGAAATATTAATAGAGTTAGCAGGTGGTTAATGCCATGTTGAATAATGACCAAAAATAAAAATCCTCCAAGTAAACTCTTACCAGTATGTATTAATAATTTTCTCAGATGTCTTTATTTTTCCATCACCCTTTAATGTTAAGTGGCTAGGTAGATCCTGTGGATAAAAGTAGATTTCAAGAACAGAGAATCAGAATAGTCCTGACAGGGAAATTGGGTATTTCTTTTCAGTTCCCTTTTAATCATAATGAAAGTAGCTCAGGAGAGTAAGACAGAGGGATTGCAAGTTCCAGATCATCCTCAGCAACTTAGTGAGGCCCTGAGCAACTTAGTGAGCAAGACCCTGTCTCAGAGTGAAAAATAAAAAGACTGGAGATGTAGCTCAGTAGTAAAAGTGTCCCTGGGTTAAATCCCCAGGACCATTAAAAAAAAAAAAAAAAAAAGTGACTGAAAACTTTTGTCTATGTTAAATGTACTTCTAACAAGGTCAAAATATATTCATTCTATTAGAAAGAACTATTGTAAATAGTCATAAAATCATGGACTATGTCATTCATAAATCTTAAAGTAGTCAAAAATCTTTTTTTTTTCTTTTTTTGTAAGTTTGGTATAATGAAAATAGGATAATTCACCATTTCTGTGTTTTTCATCCTGTTTCAATAAACAAGGAATAAATTGTTTATAATGAAATGCTAATTAATATAATAATATTTAAATGTCTCCACTGATTGATAAGCTGACCCTAGTAGATTGCTTATGGGGAAGATTAAAGAAATATTTAAAGGAAGATTTTTATTATGAAGTCCATTATAAATGGAAATAACTATCCTCGTTTTATCTTAGTCTAGTAGAAAACCTGATGCACTGAAAGCCTGTAGTTCTAATTCTTAATTAGAACTAATTAAGTTCTAATTCTGAAGTTCTAATTCTTACTCTGCCACTATTTTTCTATGTATCTTCAGAAACGTCACACAGCTTTGTGAATCATTTGTCATTTTTAAAATGAGACAAGCACTTAGATGCCTTCTGTTTTTAAAACATGTATTTTTAAAATTCACATTTATATAAGCCTGACTGATTTAAAGGGTAGTACACACATCCCTTTTAGAAAGGATATCCTCATCCTATAGTAAATGACTGATAATCTGGTCTTTTAAGTGCTTGAAGAGTGGATAATTTGTTGGAGGTTTTTATAAGATGCTGGTTCTCTGACCTCTTTAAGGGTGTTAGACTGCTACAGGATAATTTAATAATCAAAAACTGAACATAATTTTAATAGTACTTATTATCAAATGTTTTTTTATTATCTTCATAAATATCCATCAAAAACCACAACTACTTTTTATTCTTATTAGCTTACATGTAGAGAATAAAGAAGCAGATAATTTCAAAGTGGAAACACTAGAGAGACTTGAGTTGTAGCTCAGTGGTAGAGCACTTGCCTAGCATGCATGAGGCCCTGGATTCAAGCTCCAGCACTGAAGGAGGAAAAAAAATTGAAACAGTAACATATTTTTAAGCATTTTAGTAAGATTATTTAGCATTTCTGTTTGTAATTGAGTTTGACGTAATTGTTACCAAAAGACCTTTATAAGACACTCATTCTATCTAATACTATTCATAATGCCTGCTTTCTCTCTTAAGTATAATTCTTAAATATAACAGGTACATTAATGAATTCACATATTGTTAGGTATAGCATTAGAAAAGAAATATATTAGTATTTTTTAAAGTAGGGTCAATAATTAGAAAAAGATATAAACTCATAAACATTTTTTAGTATTTCCTATGCATAGTAGTGGGGTTGGCACTAGAGATAAAAATAGTTTTTTCAAAGAACTAGCTTCAAAGGGGAAACAAAGAGGTACAGAGAAATACCTATTGTCGGTAGATAATTAATGCATGGTGCAGATGGTGTATATGATAGTGCATTTGGAACTAAGCATTTTGCCTGCTGAGTTCCACTAACTCTCAAAATATTGTGTACATCTAGCCAAAAAAAGATATTAATATGGCCTTTCCCCCCGCCCCCATACCAGGGATTGAACCCAGGGGCACTTAATGCTTAACTACATCCCTAGCCCTTTTTATTTTTTACTTTGGGACAGAGTCTCAGTAAGTTGCTTAGGGCCTCCCTAAGTTGCTGAGGCTGGCTTTGAACTTGTGATCCTCTTGCATCAGTGTCCAGAGGCTCTGGGATAATAGATATGTGCTGTGCCACTGTGCCTGGCTCAATATGGTTTAATTGGCCAGTGTGTACTATAAGATATCTAGAAATAAAGATATTAGTGCTTATTCAAGTATGAGAGGAGCTTGGGAAATACAAGTCTTCCTCTGGTTGCAACCTTCCAGAAAGAGTAACAGTTTCATTCTGGAGACTAGAATAAGTAGAGAAACCAGAATTCACAGAGAAGTCTTAGAAGCTGCCATGTCACAATCTGTTACAACCACAAAGTGGAATTCATGAAAAGATCTGTGAATGTGCTACATCTGGTGTTCAGGGAGAGGTCTGTGAAACTGTCATATCTGGTTTCCACGACCTCCTAAGAATAATGGCTTTCCTTTCCCTTCTTTCTTCTGTGTGTCTCATTACTAACTCCCACTGATAGTCTAACCCAAGTCATGTATGGAAGAAGGTTCTAGGCATCTACATGGCAGAGGTGGGCTGTAGACGTGATGATTCAGAATGTAAGGCATCATACAAAATGAGCTAGACATGAAGAGTTAAAGTTTATAGTAAGGAAAAAAAAAACATTTTAACTGAAGGAAACAGCACATGCAATGGTACATATGAAGGTATGACAATATGAATTATTCAGGGAAATGCAAGAATCCTCTATGTCTACAACAGAATTCATAGGGTGGAAAATGATTAAAGAGTTAGACAGGGACCAAACAATGAAACATTTTGAGCATGGATACAATATAATAAAAATTATGGTTCATTAAGATAGCTCTGACATTGATGGAAGATGGATTGATGAAAGGAAAACAAATGGATACATTTTTAGAGGTATAACAAATTGAAGCCCTGAACAAAATATGATTACAAAAGGAAAGTGGAGTAGTGAATAGATTTAACATTTTTCCCCATACCAGGAAAGGCATCCAGGGCTTTGTGCATGGTGTTAAGCAAGTATTCTACATCCCCATCCTTTTAACATTTCTTTCTCAGAGATATAGTGATAAGCAGAGGGGTATATGAAGGCTCTCTTGGTACCTGACTGTAGCATCTTACAAGTATCAGAAAACAGAAAGCAAATAGATTAGTTCCTGCAGAAAAAAAAAGTTAGTTCAGTTGGGGGAAATTACTTTGATAAATTCAGAAAAGCCTCAAATAGAAGGTGTATGTTTCCAATATCTTGGTAATATCCATTTCTGCTTGTGTTACAGTGTGATTTAGAAGGAATCATGCCAAATGTCACCATCAGCTTGAACCTCCCTACCAATGGATCTCCACTTCAAGATATTCTAGTTCATCCTTGTGTGACTTCTCTTGATTCTGCCATTCTGACCTCTAGCAGCATTGATGCAGTGAATGATTCTGCATTTAGTGGGCCTTATAAATTTCCACTCACTCCACCTTTAGAGTCATTCAATTTATGCTACTATACTTCCCAGGTAAATAATCTTGGAAAAGTTTGAGACTTTCCTGATCTTTATAAATATTATTGATAAGCAATCATTTGTACACTTGGTGCAAACAAGAATTTTTCAGAAGTTATTTACCAGACAATAATTGAGAGATGAAGATGAAGATGAAGATTCATTTCTTCAAATAGACTACCTGTTAATCTCTGGTGTCTGTAACAACATTAAAAAGCTTTTTTACTTTTTTAGTAAGTTCTAATTAGTTATACGTGACAGTAGAATGCATTTTGACACAACATATATAAATAGAATATAACTTCTCATTCTTCTGGTAGTACATAATGTGGAATTACACTGGTCATGTAGTCATATATGCACATAGGGTAATAATGTCCAATTCATTCTACTGTTCTTCTTACCTCCATCCCCCCCCCCCCCCATTTACTCTCCTCTGTTTAATCCCTAGCTACCTCACCTTTATTGTGAATTAGATTCACATCTCAATACATTCAGTCTTTGGTTTGGTGGGATTGGCTTAACTTTGCTTAACGTGATATTCTCCAACTCCATCCATTTACCTGCAAATGCCACAATTACATTCTTCTTCTTGTAAGAAGCCACATTTTCTTTATCAATTCTTCTGTTGACGGGGAAATTTTTTTATTATTATTCCTAAGAGGAAGTCTACACTCACAGAATAGATTTTGATATGATTTAGTCATGTTTTACATGTAACTGATAAATGGCAGAACTTTAATTTAAACCCAGATTTTCCAGAATCCCAAAGTCCAAACTGTTTTTTACTATAATGTGCTATTTGTTTCTGCCCTAGTTATCAATCAGTATGTTAGTAGACCTTAGTTAGGAAAAATTATTTTGAGAAGACAATAGGCAGTCTTCATTGTCATTCAAGAAAAGAGGTAGACCCAGACCATATTGGATATGAAAAATTAAAATCACTTTATACTGAAAGTCCACATCGTCTTATCTCTGCTTCTGTCTCCTCTTTCAACTTCCTATGCTTGTATAAGATTTTAAAGCTCTAAGATCCACATTATATAAGCAGAGTCTCAATGTCTTACTTCTGATGTACTAATAGGAATGATTGGCTTACCCCAGGCTACAATTTTTTTTTCCTTTAGTCAGTTATTGATGACCAGTCAAGCTACTTCTGAGTTACTCCTGAGTTGAGGAACGTGGGAAGAATGCAGTTACAGAATACAGATGGAACATCAGGAACTGTGGGCAGGGCAGCAGTTATCAGTATGTCTAGTACATGTTCTGTGCTCTAGGTCAATTAATTTGGAGAGGAGAATATGGAAGAGCAAGAGGAGGAAGAATATATTGTACCCCTTTATAAGGCATCTTTTCTTGTCTAGGAACAGAAAGGGGTAGAAGAATCTCTGTCCTTTTATAGACCCATTATTGCTATTGTCAAAACAGTTGGAGTAACTCACTATGTATCATAGACAGATCTGTATATAATGATTAGGTTTGTATATGTGTGTGTATATATGCACATTCACATAATGTAATGTGTATAATATACACAAGAACTCCCTCCCCCATTACCATTAGTATTTTAGACCCATTAACCTGAGAATTTCATAAAAATTTATGTTTGTTTTCAGGTCCCTGTACCACCAATTTTGGGTTTCTATCAAATGAAAGAAGAAGAAATACAACTAAAAATAAAAGTTAATTTAAAACTTCATGAAAGTGTGAAAAATAATTTTGAATTCTGTGAAGCTCATATACCTTTTTACAATAGGTAGGGATAAATAACATGATGTTGTGATGTCTGCCTTCTGTAGTAGATTCCCACTGTCCCCTAATTGTGTTTAGCAAATTGTATTCGCTTTTTACCTTATTTTTTCAAGAACTAAATAATTTTGTTACTCAAATGAATGCTGATTCTGAACCAAAACATAATCATAAAAATAGATACCTTTAAATGTGTCTTTACTTTTGTAGTTAAACTTGTTAGTAAATTATAAAGAAACCAGTTAACCTCCATGAAGATTATTTACTACTGGCTTTATTTCTAGCAATTTCACTGTACTTTGCATACAAGTCAATAGCAATGAAATGTATATCATAAGTGTTTATGCAGTTTCTAGTATTTTCTGAGGTACTTATTATTCTGTTTTATTCTACAAATTTGAATTCATATCTGCCTTTTTGCTGTCTTTGTATTAAGTAACTGTAACAAGATTTGATTTAAAGCTGTTATATTTGTGATCATTTTTTTTTCTATTTTCTCTTTGTAAAGAGGTCCAATTACACAATTAGAATACAAAGTTAGTTTTGGCCAGCTTGAAGTATTTCGAGAGAAAAGCTTACTGATCTGGATTATTGGTGAGCAAGATTTTGTTTGTTGATCTTTTTTCCCTTTCATTTGCTATAGGCTCTACTTTTTTTAAAATAGTTAATTTGTGTTTTTAGGCCAGAAGTTCCCCAAATCAATGGAAATTAGTCTTTCTGGAACTATAACCTTTGGAGCCAAGAGCCATGACAAACAACCATTTGACCAGATTTGTATTGGAGATACAGCATATGTAAAGGTAAACATATTTGCATGATTCACTACATCAGAACTTCTTCCTTTGTTTCTAAATTGCATTTACCTAATTGATTTTTAATGTTTTACAGCAAATTGTTTTTAATTCTGTGCTTTTTGACTGCCTAAGTGCTTTTTTAGATTCTGTTTTATTCTTTTTGGTTAGTACTAGTCATTTTTCTATTTTGATTAATATAAATTTTAAGGGAGAACATTAAATATACTTAAATACCCCAACTTAACTAAGATCATTAAATTCATCTAAATAACCCAACTTAAACTACCCAGCATTTAATCATCAAATTAAAAATTTATTTATGAAAAATGTCAAATGTAGTCTTTACTCTCTATGGATTTTTCAATAATGCACATCAATTAACTGCTTTTGGTGTTTGAAGGAAGAAGTGAGCCTTTCTGGCCAAGGTGGTCAAGGGAAAGTAGAGTTAAAGCAAACTCTGAGGCCTAGTTAAGCATGAATAAGGAAACTTGAAGATTGACTGTATTTATTTAATTTAAAAAGACTTAAAGGGGTGAAGAATAAGCAAGACACACTTAGGATCAAGTGCTAAAAAGTGTCATACTGTATAAGACTGACTGCATAATTTAGGTTTGAAATGTAGAAGGTGTGACTCTTTTATAAAAACTTTGGATTTTTTTTTTTAATAGAGGAGTGGTTTGTACAAAGTGATACTTTGTGAATATTAATCTGCAATGAATGTGAAGGAAATAAGTGAGAAAAAATAAGGACATCAAAAATATTTTATAGTTACATTAATGTGGCACATGAAAGGTACTAAGTTGATGTTGAACTAGTGTTGTATCAGTAGAAAGAAAAGGAATGGGCTACTCTAAGCCATACTGATTGTAAAATCTCAGTCACTAATATAGAGACAAGAAAAAAATAACAAGTCAAAAGATGGTGTTATGGGCTGGGACTGTGGCTCAGCGGTAGCTCACTTGCCTGGCATGTGTGAGGCATTGGGTTCAATTCTCAGCACCACGTATAAATAAATGTAAAAAATAAATAAAGATCTATCAACAACTAAGAAAAAAATTTTTAAAAAAAGATGGTGTTATTCAAAAAAGTATGTCATTTAAACCAGACTTGAACCTTCAAGAGGGCAGTGACGATATGAATTTCATTTATCCATTGTTTTATCCCTAAGACCTAATCCATTATCTACCAATAAATATTTCTGAATGGGTGAATATACATGAATTAAAGTATTGATATTGAAAACATTGGGAAAGAGTGAGCTTTATATATATGATACTGGATAATAGCAACATATCTTAATTCAAGTGTCCAGTGGATAGCTAAAAACCTAAAACTTGATTTCTCAAGGAAAAGCTCAGCTGCATATAAGGATTTAGGAGTTACCTACAGAGAAGAAATAGTTGAAGTAGTGGAAATGATTAAGATCAGAAAAAAATAAGAAAAATGGTAAAGATTCAGAAAAACCATTGAGGAAAATTAATGGGGTGATTAAAAAGGTAACAAGAAAGTAAAATGCTATCAAAGGAGATTGAAATCTGACCATAAAGGCAATTAGAGGAATTGGTGATGAAATCAGAAATATATTGGCAATAATTTGGGTTTTTTTCCCCATGTTGTCTTCAACTACATCTATTAGCATTGTTTCAAAGATTATTATAAAAGGTCCTAATTTTTCATAAAAAAATATGTGGGGTATTACCACATTGCATGTTCTTCAAAGGTAGATATTATCATTTTTCTGTTAATTTCCATCACTTAACCACTTTCCAATTCATATTTATTTTCAGTGAACGAACTGAATGTGTTTTGTGTTATCTTAGTCATGTGGAAATCAACCTTGTCATAAATAACTTCCAGCATTCAGAATTACACTGAACAAGCAAGCATAAACCCCGTACTATCAAAAATTATTTGAGGGGCTGGGGTTGTGGCTCAGTGGTAGAGCGCTCACCTCGCACGTGAGAGGCCCTGGGATCGATCCTCAGCACCACATAAATAAATTATTAAAATAGAGATATTGTGTTCAATTACAACTAAAAAATACATATAAAAAATTATTTGAGTTGCAGCAGGAATAATATGTTAAGATTTAAAAATAACATCATATGCATGTGATCAGTAAGTTTAGCAATTAAAGAAGAAACTTGAAAAATGGGAGAAATTTACAGGGAAGAAAGGAAAAAAAATCAATATAAGGTAGAGCTTTTGCCTATCACACATGAGATCCTGGGTTTGATCCCCAGCACTGCCAAAAATAAAAGCATAGAAAAGATAACATGGTATTGCAAAATCAGGATCATTTAACAGCAGAGATGAAGAGAACCACAGCAAAAGGAGACTAGAACTATGTAAGATATAAACCTTTTCCTGTGAATGTGATTTTGATTCAGGCATCATATCTTCAAAGAAGCTACTGCCTCACTCTATTGTAGTACAGTATAATAATTGGCATTTACAGTGATAACCTCACATTATCAATGAAATTAGGAACTATTGATTATATTTTGTAAGTTTTTTTATGTGAGGGAAGGGAAAATTTCTAAGCTCAATTCTGTAAGAGTTAAATTTCAGTTTCTTAGAAAATTAAGTAGTGCAGCTCATTCTCTCCAAATACCAGATAAGCTAATGTTTCTGTTTTAGTAATTACATTCTTATTTCACTAAAAGGTATATATATTCCCACCTATAAAAGAATTATGATGTAAAATATATCTCAATCACATAGCCCTTGGGATAGAAGAGAGTATGTAGTTTACTAGACAACCTAGCAGAAGGAACATCTGCTTTTGTAGTCAGCCATGTCTGAGGTCAGATGCCAGTTCTGCTTCTTACATATTGGGATATTAATTGCTTTCATCTCAGAACCTCAGTTCCCTTATTTGTAAAATGATACTGTATGGATTAGAGTCCATATTGGTGAAGTGCCTGGTTTGTGTTAAGCACTTTATAATGGAAGACTTACAAAGAAATGGCTTCAGAGCAAAGGAAAGAGAGTATGTGTGTACATATTTAAACATATGTATACTCATAATTGAAGTTCAATATTTTATGATTTTTATTTTATGAACTGTTTGAGATGAATTTTTTAAAGTCATATCAAGAGAAAAAAATGTGATCATCATTTTTACCAACTAATCACTTCAGTTTAGTACATTTCTCTTCCTAGCTTCATTTTAGCATCTTAGATTACACACTCACCGGATGTTATGCGGATCAACATTCAGTTCAAGTTTTCGCATCAGGAAAACCAAAAATAAGTTCATGTAAGTTGTACAGATTCAAACTAACTTAATGAGATTTAAATGGTGGTGTGTTGTTATTACCTAAGGTAAAATTAAAATGTAACAGAATTTAGAAATTGGAGAATAATCCCAATTTGTAAAAATTTTGACTTTATCCACCCCAGCGTAACACTTTGTGAACTTTGTATGGCCCTCAGTCTTTTCCAGTTTAAAATAGAATCTGGAATAGCAAGGATTAAGATGGGATGGGCTTTAGTATAAAATTAGATTTGCTTTGTTCTGGTTATAATAAACTCTTATTTAAAGGTGGTTCACAAGGTTACATACTTTGGTATTGGACAAACAAGGATTCAAGCTATGGCTCCAACATTTTATTGACTGTGTTGCTTCAATGAACTTTCTGAAGTTTTCGTTTTCTTATCTTTAAAGTGGAAATAAATTACCTTAGAACTGTTACGAGGTTTAAGTAAGATTATACTGATCAAGCACTTAGCATATAATATAGATTCAATAGATGGTAAGTATGATTATTACTTAAAAACTTAAGTAATTTTTAGCAAATATTATAATCAATAAACACTATTTCCCACCTTCTCTAGTCTACCACTAGGCAAGTTGTAAAGATGATTTCCTGTCTTCAATGGATTTACTGGTTGTGAAATATATATATGTATATATATCTTATACATACATATATGTATACTTTATATGAAAACATAGCTAGACAAAAAGAAATTTATAAATGAATTCAAAATTATTTCATTCAGATCAAATACACATGGCTGATATAGAAAAGTAGCTAGAATGAGGTATAATTAGATAAAGTTAAGGAGAACCTTTTGCCTTATAAATTGAGGAGAATAAAGCTATTATATGTATATATTTAGATAACAATGATGCTAATTTATAAAAATTATTTCTGTATTTAAATAAATATTTTTTAAACTAAGAATTAAGGTCCCTAAAATAAAAAGAATAGGACAAGACTTTGTATTTGAATATTTCAAAAGAATTAAAGAACTTGGAACTATGGAATCTAAGCAATTTCTTGTGAATTTCAGAAACATATTCTATCTAGTAAAACCAGAAAAAGCTCATTTCTCACCTCCCTGGGGTTTCCCTCATTTTTTTCATCAGTTTTGTTGTTGTTGTTTGTATTTTTTAAATGAATTCATAGAAGAGTATTCATAGTGCATTTATGTTTTATGAAAGCATAATATTGGACAACCAGTATCTTTTCCTAAGTACAAACAGACCGATGTTTTAAAATATTTATGAGAAATATATTGTCTTTTAATAATTAGAACATTTTAAGTATTTTGTCAGGATTAACTAAACATGTAATTTTCAGAGAGCATAATACAGAATAAGTTTCACTAATACACCTGCTTATTAATGCAAAATATTGAAAGAGCTCATTTTAAATGGATCATTACAACTAGTCTTTATTTCCTAACTCTGGTTATTTCAGACAGTGACAGCCAAATTGTGCAACCATGTGAAACCTTTATTTTGCCATCATCTTGGCAATAAAGTCTATATTCACAATTAACAGCTTTGTTCTGAAAATAGTATAGTAATAATGCTAATTTCATTAATAGCTAATATTTTTTATTTACTAGGTGCTCAGCATAGTTTCTATTTTATGTGTACTAACTCATTACTCCTCACAGCATCCTATATAGAGTTATCTCCATTTTACAGATAAGGACACTGATGAAACAGAGGGTCACGTAGCTTAGTAATGATGGCAGAACTGAGGATCAAACTATTCTTTGCATTATTAAGAAGAAAGGTAGAAAAGGCTGAATTAAATAATTAGTGATATACATATACACAATAATAATAATTTGCCTGAGACTAAATCCAAAGAAGCATTACTATCTCAATTCCACATATCAGCAAAGTTTAGTTCAAAGAGATTGCCATTTGACTAAAGTTGCAAAGCTATTTACATTTGATCAGAACTATAATGAAAACCCAGCAAAGCCACTTTTTTTATCATGTTGCTAGAAAGTTGATTGTTGGTTTACATCTTTTACACTTTGAATGAATAAAGAATAAGATGACCAGAATCAGGACAGTGGTGAAGAAGTTAGAGAAGGGAAACCAACAAAAAAATTAAATATTTTACAATTAATGATTCATAAGAAATAGTATTTAGGAGAAATGTGAGGAAAAAATTTACAGACTTGGCATCAATAAGAGATATTTTATGTAAGCTTAAAGATGGATTGTTCAAAGATTTAAAGAGCTTACATTTTTTAAGTGGTAAAAATTAATAATAAAGCCTTGATAAAATAAAGTTAAAATGAATATTTCAAAGGATTGCCATGAAATGATTGCACTGAACAATGTCAAAAAATCATGACTTTGCTCTCCTGTTTTTTTGCTAAGATGAAATAGTTTATTTTTTTTTTTTTTCCTTTTTTAGACCGGAAACTAGTGTCTTCTGATTATTACATCTGGAATTCTAAAGCCCCTGCTCCAGTAACCTATGGATCATTATTACTGTGATTTTTTTAATATTTAAATGGGATTTATACAATAGTAACACAGCATAAATGAAATCATAGTTTTTATATCTATTGTGTATTCATATAACCTGTAAGTGAAAAAATCTGAAGGATTTTAATTATAAAATATTCATACTTGAAATTTTTTAATCTGATATAGTTTGAAAGAATGTCATAATATATTATGATATTTTTGTCATATAACATTATTATAATATATTGCATATTATGTTATATATCATAGCATTAATATATAATTATATATTATATTATAGTATATCATTATTGTTATATAATATTATTGTTGTAAAGGCTAATATCTCCTGTGTTTGTTACCCTTTCGTTTTCTGTCACTGTGATTCAGAATACAAAGAATTCGTGATTCACTCTGACTTATTGAAGACTCATCCTGGGTCAACATGCTGTACATGTTCCTTCCCACCCCTATAGCAGATAACTGCTAATCAATCACAACCCTCTTCCTACTGTGAGCCTTCCTGGGTAAGAGCTCAGGCTTCTCAGTGCAGAGCTTCAGGCAGCCATTCCAATGGTTTGTACCTGACATGTAAGATAACTATTTGTTCTTTCAAACCTAAGTACTAAGCCAGGCATGGTGGGACTCACCTGTAATCCCAAAGACTTGAGAGACTGAGGCAAGAGGATCATGAGTTTGAGTCCAGTCTTGGCAATCTAGAGCAACTCTGTCTTAAAATAAAACAGAATGGGGATGTAGCTCAGTAGTAGAGTGTCCCTGGGTTCGATCCCCAGTACAAAAAAAAAATACTTATCTCCCAGTACATTGTGCTGGTATAGAATATCAGCAACCAAATTATAAACAACTATAAATCTCTTGAAAAATCAGCCAATGTAGACAAAGGAGACTTGCTTAAATAGTAACCTGTTGTTAATCAGAACTATCCCATTGACTAATAAAGAATCTGCATAATTCTATTTATCCCTGTTCTAGAGTTTATTTTTAAGTAAGCTTGTTAATCTGCCATAATAACATTTTGCTTAGGATGTCTATAAGTATATTTTAAAAAATAAAGATGGGTGGGATACCTGCAGAATAATGTAATGTTTTGCAATTATATGTCTTCAGCCAATTTCTGAAGATAAAGGTAGATATAATATTGCTTTTTCCTTATTTTACTAAATTAAAATCCATTAATGAATAAATTCATGTAAAAACTCAAAAACCTTTCTGTGGGTAGAGTATTATTTACTCTTAGTCTTACATAATAGTGTATTTTCTTTAAATTTGTCTTTCTCATTTTCTTATTATAATTTTTTTTTTATTTTTTCAGAAACCATTAGCCATATTCTTTATTCTCTACCTGTTTCTATAATTAGATGTGACATTCTGTTTTCAGAGCAGTTCATTGTCAAGTTGGACTCCAAATGACCAAGAAAAAAGTAATCTCAAGATCCTAAGAACTTAGTTCATGTCAAAGTTCTTTTACAGAATAGAATTTAAAAGCATTATAAAAAATATGCATTACAGATTAATATTCAATTCAACTATATTCTGGGTTCTGTTTTTTAATGAATCTTCTCAGAAAAGGCTTAGAAAAAGCTGCTAACTCCTCAAAAGAGAGCTATAATAATTTGAAGGGATAGTGCATATGAACTTAGGATTTGAAGTTTGATTTTTTAATTAAGGTCAATCCTACTCATTATAAACCCTCATTTTCTGCAAAGCATTATCATACATAAAGTTCTATGTTCAAAATTATCCCAAGTAACAAAGAAGAATAGCTGTCTGACCAGGACTTTAACTTATTATTGTAGCTTAATCATAGATAATCAGTAGTAAAAACTTTCCTTTTGAAAGAACATTTCCCCATAAGTTATTTATGTCTCTTCAACTCAAGGCTTAATGTTGTACTTGTGTTAATAGAGCCATTTGGAAATTTCAATTATTCAAATTCTTATTAGCAAAGTACACTAAGGTAGGCAAGAGGCATTTATCTAGTGAGTAGGCAGAGATTCAACATAATAATTCCTTAAGCAAAACTTTCTTCGTGAACAAATTAGAAAAACCAATAGACTTTGATTTGACATTTATAGAAAACTACGGAAAATCTGAGGAGTACTGGAAAAGTATAGAGATGATGGAGAACCCCATGCCATCTGTTGCCATTCCATTCCAGCAAGACTACAGAACTAAACCAACTCATGTTTTCATCCCTTCAAGATCAGCTGGGCACACTATGATGCTTTTGATTTTGTCTAGGAACCTGTCACTTCAGGATAATTTCTGAAGACAAAGTCTGTTTCCCGTTTGGTAGGTGACCTGTTTAATGTTTTCCCTGTGTCTGGGAACTCCTTAGTGTAATTAGCGACCTTTGAACTCCGCAACTAATCCTGAGCTATTTTGTATTCCTTACTCATCTTTAAGGCTGGACCTTTCTTTTATTCAGAGTCCTCTGCCACAATTAAAGAAGAAACAGCTGCATTTCAAAGGGATTCCGATTCCAGAAGCTTAATCGTGATTGACATGTTCTTATTCTAAGCTATAAGACACTCTAAGAGTCCTTTCTTGGGTTAAAACTTCAATCATTTTCTAAAAAAATTATCTCACTACGGATTTTATTCATTTTCTTTGATAACTATTCTTTGCATTTTTTAACTCGAAAGATGCTTTGCATTTGCAGTGAATATGAGCAACTACTTCTAGTGAAAGATTTGGATGGTGTCAGTCCTGCTCTAGATGGAAAATTTCTAAATTCCCTTTTAGTGCCAAAATATGATTACGAAATCTGATGTCTATCATATGGGTAATTATTCTTCCCTAAATCCCAAAGGCAAAAGGAAAAATAGCTAAATTTCTGAAAATGAACTCCAGAAAAGATGGTTCGTGATTTTGGTAAAAACTTTTCTTACTAAACAATATTTTAAAACTTTTTAAAGTCAGCAATATTGAAGTTAGGCAATATCCTGGTGGTATTTTATACTTTTAAAATAATCAACTCAAGTTTGAAGTAAATAGGCTCATCAGGAATTCTTATGAGAATGTTTTATTATTTTTATTAAACTTTCTGCCTAATAAAATATTTAAAATTTTTCATGACAACTCAATACTTCCACTATATTTAAATTATTATAGTTTTATACATTGTGTGATTTAAGATTTTTAACAGCAGACATTGTGCATAGTAAAAAAGTGTTAATATTTGTCTTCTCATTTTGGTTCTAGTATTTTTAATACTTCATATACATTCATAGATTTCTCTGCTACCACTGGGAAGTAGGTAGGTGGAATTATCCAAAACCTTCAGGGACTGCTGCCACAGCAGAATAGTTGTTCCTAAGACAAAGGTCAAAAAAGGGATGTTAATAAACAGTCCTCAGGTTTAAGGGACTTTTTTAGGATTACATCTTAAATTCCAACAAATCAGATTTAGGAGTTACTGAAAGTGAAATTGATCCATCCCTCATCCAAACTTTGCAATACTTTCCTGTTCTGACATCATTTAGATAGTTAGCTGTATTATCAGATTAGAAACCATTGTACCAGGCTGCTGAAAGGAAAAGGAGGCAAAAAGCTAAACATGGGATGAATTCTGAACCTTTTAACCTGGCTGAAGTACGTTGGTCCCTGTTATGCAAATACCTTCAATCCTCTGCTAAGTTCAGTGGAAATAATTTTCTTGAATGACAGGTTTATTCAGCAAGGATTCAGTTGGTGATTAATCCCCCTTTGATCTAGGGTATTTCACTTAACTACCAGTTACCTCGTTCTGACAAAGTGCAACTGAGATTAGGGAGATCACTAGAACACTACCAGGGTGTGCGTTTATTCTCTATAACCTTTAAGCAAGGGCCAAGAATGCAATTTATTTTCAGTATTTGAAGATGTAAAGTCCTGTCTGCTAAGTTAGAAAGTCAATTGAATACCAAATGAAGTTTATTTCTTACGTAATAGAACAAACATTTCTTTTTGCTTTACCTAACAATGATATTAGGAAGCATAGGCTTTGAAGAAAGAAGAAACAAAGAATACATTCCAAGTATAGCTTTTTATTTTGTTTCATGTATTAAGAGTGTATACTTACTGGCCCTGAGATAACTTAAAAATCAAAGGAGTGGCTACAACTGCAGTTAGGAAAATGCTTCTTTTTCTTTAAACTGCATAGTTTCTCACCCCTCCCATCACCTCCACCGCCACTAGAAAATGTCATGGTATGTGGTGAAGAAATCCAGTTGGAGAAAACATGTTGTAATACATAGATCCATCTTAAGACTGCTGATTTGAAAGCTATCCTTATTAAATTTTTCTTCTTTTAGGAGAGTTTGTTATATTCCCATTTAAAAAATTGCATTCATTTTCAGAATGATTTTTTCAAAAAGAAAGGTAAATAATATTGCCAAAATACTATATATTAATTATTTTAAATGTTTTCTGCCTTTTTCTCATTTTTCTGGACACCTCTTCTCTCATAAATGTAAACTTTGAAATATTCTCTGAAATTTGACAAAAAAGTGTCAAGATTTTTCATGCTATGTTTCTCAATTCACTTTTTAAATTATTATTAACATTAGTATTTTTTTGCAAGATGTTAAATTAGAGGATTTATCGAAGTATATTACAAGACCTTTTAAATGTATTTTTGTATTTTGTAACAAATTTATTTTTAAGGATTAAATTTTTACTAATGATAAATTTTGTTTTTATAAATAAAGCAGTTTTAGAAATGTTTTATAATTGCTCATCATCCTAATAGCAATTTGCAACACAAGTTGTGTTCAGACCGCTTCTTAACACTTTTTTTTTGGTTTAAACCTTTTTGTTTTCTAATTTATAAATTGAAATGATGCAAGAAAAAAAACTATATCTAAGTTTATGCCAAACCAACCTTCTCTAGTTTCAATTTAATAACCAGTTTCTAAATACCTTTTGGTAGCAAGTTATTGAATCACAACAAAATTGGGGATCAGAAAAAATAATAAGATGGCATTAGGAATACAGGATCCCATGGCTTTGTTTCTGAGAAACAAGTGTTTTTAATAATTAACTATTTCATGCTCTAAGTATCTAGTTAATAAAATGTTGCAGTGTATTTTAAAATATGCCTTCATAGAATATATTTATGTACACATATATGTATGAGTGTATGTATTTATATAATGCATTCAATGCTAGTGTGTCTGAGTTGGCAGGTTTCCCTGTGAAACATTTCAATGTTATGTCAGAAGAAGAAACATATTTTAAAGTAAAATATCTAAATATCTTCCCAAACACAATTTTAGTTAATTAATGAAGGGATTTCATTAATTAACTAAAATTTCATTAAAATGAAAATTGTCAAGGATCTCATGAGATTAGTCTTACAAATTGGTTAAAACTCTTAAGAGCTAAAAGCTTTTCAACTAGCTTCTAATTTTCCTCATCAACTGTTTTATAGAGTTAATATTATTGTCCACATATTGCTTGGAGCAAAAAAATTGGCATGAGTATCTCACTGGTGTCCTGCCTTGTAAGCAGGTTACTTTGGAATCCAGGTTGATTTCTCTAAGGACCTGGCTAATCTATGTAATTGACGTCAGTGTAGTGGCAGAACACATGCACAAGCATTTACAGATTGATGAATGTGCACGAATGGAAACTACCTGCTGCCATTTTTCCAGTAGGAAGTGAAAATCTGCATGTTGAATAATGCATTAAACATTTAAATGCTGGGGCTGTGGCTCAGGCTCAGCGCTTGCCTAGCATTCATGAAGCACTGGGTTCAAGCCTCAGAACCATGTAAAAATAAAACAAAGCCATTCTGTCCATCTACAACTAGAAAAAATTTTTTAAAAAATTTTAAAGTCAAACTGTATGCTTCCTTTATATGACCTGCTTTTAAATGATGGTTTCTCTAAAAATTATTTAGTAAATACATAATGATGAAAATGTTCAAATTATTACTATCCCTCTTAAAATGTTTACCTTTTCCTTCAAGGGACTTGAGTGCCCTCTGCAGGTTATAAAGAGATAATTAATGACTACGTCTATTTTTGAGCCTGTGATTTTTTTCCCTTTCAAAATTGCAGAGCCCATTATGTCTAATCTCAAAGCAAGCATGATCCAATTTATATTGTTAACCCTTAATTTGCCAGTGATTGAAGGAGGAGTTTCTTTTCTGTACATGTTTTGTTGTGTTTAGTGTAAATGTGATTCTTGTGAGCTTTCCATGTCACTTAACTAGGGTCCTATAAATATTTGATGATAATACATTCTCTCACAGAAAGAAGATTGGGAAAACATTTAGGTACTTTGAAATGTTTTAAAGATTTTGAGGCTAGTTTATTTCTTGTTGCATTTGGAATAGTGTACATTGGAATAAGCCTTGCTTTGTCCACATGCATCATGTAAAATTATGTGAGACTTCAGTTTCTTGATTGGGTTTATGAGTGATGTTTGTGTTCAGGCTTAAAAAAAAACATCTTAAAATATCTTATTTTTTTAAAAGGATTGAACAGATAGCACTTCAATATTATTGTTGGTATTATTGTCCACCAACTAGAAAGAATATTTATATTTGAAGAGCAAAAAGCAACATTTTCATCGCCATAGTGTGAAAGTACATGAGTCATTCATGTCTGTGAAACCCATACTTTCTCAATGGGAGTAGCAGATTTGTTTCTAAAGGACATAGAAATTCATTTGTATACGAAACTAGAACTGGAGTGCTGGTGGCACTTCTGATTCAATTAACTTACTTGGTGAAGCTGCCAGGGAAACTAAATATGATGAGAACAAGAGGAATGACTGGATCAAATTAATAGAAATAGATCTTTTTGCAAGCAGCGTAATGATTCTGATCATCAACCTTGAAAAGTAAATTAGAACAAGCAAATTACTGTTGAAAAATTCTTTTAGCACTCTGCTGTTGCTACACAGCTAGTCATGGCTCAGCCTGGGGCAGGGAAAAAATGCACTCAGTTTTGGTTGACAAAGGAAACATTATTAAAGTGAGTGTTTACATTGTGTTTATTGAAGTGTTCAAAGAATATTTGTGGCATCTTCAAGCAACCTGCTGCTCTCCAGACTATGATAGTGCATGAGTAATAATAAAAATGAGTCACTTGTACACTTTAAATAAGTGCCTTAAACTTGTTTTTCAACTATCTCCAAAATATTTTAAGTTTCAAACTAAATAGTGCTTTCTCTTCTAAAGATTTTTTTTTTATTTTTTTTATTTTTTTTTTTTTAGTTTTCGGTGGACACAACATCTTTGTTTGTATGTGGTGCAGAGGATCGATCCTGGGCCGCATGCATGCCAGGCGAGAGCGCTACCACTTGAGCCATATCCCCAGCCCCTCTAAAGATTTTTTTTCTCTAGAAATTGAACCAATTTTTTAAAAACATTCATTTCTTTGAATTTTTCTTGAATATACCTTCCAGTTACTTCTACATCCTTTGTGTAACTTTCCTCCCAGGATCTACAATGCATAAGAAATAATCCTATTCCTTAATATGCTAAGAATCACAAAAACTAAAAGCAATTGTGAAATTACTGACTAATGTCCAATTGAGTATATAATATGTGCATTAAAAAGATATCTGATTAGGGTCATAACTTTTGAGAGCTACAATTACCTTAATCTACCTCAAAAAGATTAAATTGAGAGTTGAAAAGATAGTTACTAACAAGCCTGCCCATCTGACATTTAAAAGCTTTTTTTTTAGTTTTCGGTGGACACAACGTCTTTATTTTATTTTTATGTGGTGCTGAGGATCGAACCCGGGCCACACGCATGCCAGGCGGGCGTGCTACCACTTGAGGCACATCCCCAGCCCTTAAAAGTTTAATAGATCTTTATTATTTATACTGGGAAAATAGGAAAGTAATTAAAAACCTAGAAAGAATTTTAGTTTTTATCTTTCTAAAGAGATCCATTGAAATCATTTTTATATTTTAGAAATAGTAGAAGCGTGGTACTTAACAGGGATTAAAGTACTTTATTTTTATTGACCAGCAGCCCCCAGTACAAAAAAAATTAATCTCAGGTATTATTGAATATAAGTTAAGTGTTCAGAATTCCCTTATGAACTAATTTTTGAGAAACTATTTTCTTATA